TACTCACTAATTTCCTATGGTGTTATCTTGCTTTTTAAAAATATGCCTGGAGAAGGCAAGTCCTTACCCTAAAGGGACATTTTGTAATGGTGGGACTCTGCATCTCGAGGAAGACACCTGTATCTTTGTGTCATAGCTTTAAGGAGCTGTCTGCCCTGCCGGCCTGAGGACAGGCCCACTTGGTGTTTTCCTGTCTCTATGGTCTGAGATKGAGCCCTCCTGGGGTGGCCCTCTYTCTGGTTGKTTCCTAGCACAGTACAGTACCTGGGATGGGGAAGACTTGGGCCTCACTGGGAAGGGATATCCCCGAGTATTGGAGTCACTTCCACACACCCCCACCTCATGCCTGCTTCTGCTTCCCTTTCCCACATGTAAGGAGAGGTGAGTGTCTCCCCCGATCCTGGGAGGCAGCCCCCGTGAGAACCTGCCCCACTGAAGCCAAGGTCCTGAGCTCAGCCTTTCCCACCAAGGAGAAAATAGCAAGAAAAACAGATGAGAACTGATACCCTGTGCCCAGGGTCGGYTGGGACCTGGTTCTGGAGGAGCCCCAGGAAAGCTTTAACCCCGGGGGCTCTGAGCAGTCAGGGAGGGTGGGGGATGGGGGTGCACCTCTCCAGCCAGAAGTGGTCACTTCCTTCCCCTAATCTGGGACACTGTCCATGTACTCCTCCCCTCTTTCAGTAGGTCATCATTGAGGTCACTGGGCCCACCCTCTGTCTCTTCGGTGGTATCTACCTTCAACAGGGTCCAGTGGTTCTCATTTTAAACCTCTTAGGCAAGGAATATTCTGAATCTGTCCATCTTATGGATTAAAATGACCCACAATCAGCCTGGACCCTGGAGGAGAACTGGGCTTAGAGTCAGGAGCCTCGGGTGAGTGGAGCTTTTAATCTGTTCCACGGGATCCATTATCTGCAGGCCTCCTGGCAGGCTGGTTCCTGGGCTCACCTGAGCCGTGACTGTTAAAGGGCTGCATAAACAATAAACGTGATGTAAACCATAGATGTAAACGGGACAGCACCTCTGGCCTCACTCTTGCAAAGGCTCACCCTGGGGATGTGGCCCTACACTCTACCCGGGGGACAGACAAGACAATTTTTCCCACAGAAGGATCCCTGTTCCTTTGATCTTTGCTCAGAGACTCATGCTTAGAACTTCTTTCACTGCCCCTGAGAGGACATGCAGGGGACAGTGAGATCATCGGGAGCCAGGCCTGAGTAAGACGTTTTGCAGTCCTCAGGCTGGGCTTGCTGGGCATCTAGAGACACTGGAGTTTTTCATGTGTGTGTTTGTCTAGGAGCTTGGAGGGGTAAGAACTCAGGCTAAGGATATTGGCAAGATGTGTACAGACATTTGCACATAGAGTATCTCATTCCATCCCCTCCCTCTGAAGTAGGTCTCATTGTACAAAGGAGGAATTGAGGTAGCACACTGCAGACTTGGGTGGAYTAGAAGCCCACACATTTGAGACTTCTGATCCAGCGTCTGCCATAGGCCTCGCCATTCTGCTGAGGATTCAAGGAGGAGGGAATGGGATTCCCTTACTGCAAGAGAGTTAGGCACAATTGAACTGATCAGCCAAGACCCCTGAATGGTTTGGGGACACAAGGATCCTAGGATCACAGAGTAGGGAAGGGGCAGTGCTGTACAGCTGTTGGAGTCATCTAGGGTCCTCAGTTTCTCCACTGGAATGCTGCAGAGATCAGATGAGGTCCCAACAGTCTCTTTTAGTGTTTGTTTTCTAGATGGGACAGGGAGGAGGCATCTAGCTTCTCCTGCTCTCCTAATGGTCACTCTTCCCATCCCCATAGCCTGCACAGAGCAGGTGGGCTTTAGCACATAGTAAGAGATCTAGAAGAATCATTGCCCAGGGTGAGGGGGCAATCGTCCTGAGAAGGCGAGAGCTGCAGATTCCATAGACACAGGACAGAAAGAAACAATCAGAGGTCCCCCTCCTACCCCAGATTTCAGGAGCTGTTTACGTGCTTAGGAGGGCACTCCATCCCTCTCAGATGCCGCACTGGAAAATAACAACTGGGCAAGTTGCTGCTGCTCGGGCAGCCTCGGCACAGTGCTGGGCGGGCCCCAGCCCTTGGCACTTGTTCCAAGGCCAGTTTGTGGGCAGATGATACGATGACTGGCTGCTGGTTGGGATGGTTTAGAGGCAAGTGGGGAGCCCCCAAGATATTCAAACCCTATCCTCAGTATTGGGTTGGGGACAGGCCATCACCTCTGGACCATGTCTCCACATATGATCCTGATGTTTTTCATGCTCTGTGTGTCACAAGGTGAGAAAGGTTGGAAAGCACTATCCCTTGTCATCATCCTGTTCGTATCCTTTAAGGCTCCTATCATGATCTGTAGTGGTCCCGTTTATTGGGTCATTCCCTTAGAACTCCTAAAAGAGGTCCTTTGTTATTTTTTTAATCATTAACCAGAATTCCCTCCTTCTGCAGGAGAAACAAGCCAGTGCATTGCCAACTTTGCCCTGAATTTTAGATACTGAAGACTCAGCCCTTGGGCAAAAGATCCATCCCTTTCCACTTTCTCTGGACCCTCCTGTAGGAGCACCCCCCCCCCCCAGGGGCTGGGTGAGTCTCAGAGGGATCTTCATGGCAGCYAGGAAGCAGTTCCTCATACCCTTCCCTCCTCTCCCACAGGTACAAGACGGTGATGACCCCACGGAGGGCAGCAGTGGCCATTGCTGGCTGCTGGCTTCTCTCCCTGGTGGTTGGCCTGACACCCTTGTTCGGCTGGAACAACCTGCAGGAGGTGGAGCGGGCCTGGGTGGCCAACGGCAGTGTGGGGGAGCCGGTGATCAAGTGCGAGTTTGAGAAGGTCATTAGCATGGAGTACATGGTCTACTTCAACTTCTTCGTCTGGGTGCTGCCTCCGCTGCTCCTCATGGTCCTCATCTACCTGGAGGTCTTCTACCTGATCCGCAAGCAACTCAGCAAGAAAGTGTCAGCCTCCTCCGGCGACCCGCAGAAGTACTATGGGAAGGAGCTGAAGATCGCCAAGTCGCTGGCCCTCATCCTCTTTCTCTTTGCCCTCAGCTGGCTGCCCCTGCACATCCTGAACTGCATCACCCTCTTCTGCCCCAGCTGCCACAAGCCCAGCATCCTCATCTACGTCGCCATCTTCCTTACTCACGGCAACTCAGCCATGAACCCCATCGTCTATGCCTTCCGCATCCAGAAGTTCCGGGTCACCTTCCTGAAGATCTGGAACGACCACTTCCGCTGCCAGTCGGAGCCCCCCACTGACGAGGACCACCCTGAAGACAAGGCCGATGACTAGCTCTGCCTTCTGCTCCCACCAACCCATACCCAGTGGGGTCCCACCAGCCCTCACCTCCCGGCTGTCCCACTGGTCTTCCTGAGCCTTTCCCCAGCTGGGCTGTGGGCTGTGGCAGTGGGAAGGGTCTAAAGAGATGCCCACGGAGCAGGGGGCCCCTCCACAGGGAGTTAGCCGCCCTGCACCTCGGGGTCCTGGAGGAGATTTGTGAGGGCAGCCCAAGGGAAGGATCTTGTGCCCTGAGGCTTGAGCGCCCCCTGCCTGATAGCCCATGAGGCGTCTAGCTGAGCAGGTCCTAGGGGCCAACTGTGGAGGAGCCATTGGGGGCTGGGAGAGGAAGCTCTGGCTCCTTCAGTGAAGCAGAGGAGTCTACTGGTGTAGAGGGTTGGTGGCATGTCCTGGGACCAAGCTTGAGGATAGGAGAGAATCCCCTCTGAGATGGAGACAAGCAGAGAAGGGGGGGGGGTGTCCTGGCCTGCTTTCTGTCCTGTACTGTAGGGGAAGGTGGCCAGGAGCAGGAATCCAGGAGCCTTAATCTCTGCCTCCTAGGATTCTGTGCCTGACATGCTGGGCACCAGGGTGCCTGTTCTCTTTGTCCTGGGAAACCCAGGATTATATTGGAAGAGGCAGAAAGAGGGGTCCAGAAGTCATTTCCCACGTTTGTTTACTCCCCACTGGCTGTCCTTTTGGCCCCTCAGTGGGGCCTCTGAGCCCCCAAGGGTGGTGTGGTAGGTGCCAGCCGTGGGCAGCCACCAGGTGGCAGCACCGAGCCCTCTGTCTTGCCCCAAGCTTCCAAGGAGCCTGGATATTGTAACTTCCCATCTACCATTAAATGGTAGATCTGGACCCTCCTAGGTGACCCCATCTCTGCTGCTTCTGGGCCCAATAAAGAGAAGAACCCCAGAGACACCACTCTTAGGAGTGTTATGCCTGCCTAGGGAGGATGTGAGAAGCATCTGGGGGGACCCAGGGCTGACTGTGGGCACTCCTGGGGCGGGGTGTGGCAGGCTGGAACAGGCCAGAGAGGACCACTGTCCTGAGAGGCCTCCAGGGAGGGCCTTGCTGGCATTGAACTATCCCTGGTGTTCAACTCAGTTTTTCAGGGACTTTGGAAGCTGGGTTGCAGATAGAGTCCAGGCCTTTAGGCGTCTGGGGAAGGAGGACTGATTCACCCCCTGCCGAGCCTGGAGCCCCTGGGTGGAGGGTGGGTCGGGGAGGAGAGGTGGTTGTCAAGTGGACAGGTTCTAAGTGTGGATATAGACTCCAGACCCTTCCTCTGCCAAAGGTGGGGTGTCCCCTGGCTCCCGAGCGAGGCCGATGTGACTAATAAAAAACTGTGAACCCTCATGGAGAACACACTGCTGGCACCACCCACCACTGTCCTGGGGGAAACAAGACAGACTTCGCAATAAAGACACAGCGGTGGGGGATGGAGGAGAAGCTGGGAGAGGGGAGGTGGGGGCTGTGCAGGTGTCGGAGCCAGCAGGGTTCCGAGAAGGTGTGTCTGTTTCTATAGTTACATACTTGGGATAGCAAGCCCTGAGTCACAAAACAAGGTCCGACCATTCCCATGTCCAGAAAATGCCCTGGGACATTTTGAGACCCTTCCTGCTGGCTCCTTCCTCAGGGTGGTGGATCCACCCACACATGGGGACACAGTGCCTCCCCTTCGTGGTGACGCTCACTGCCACAGAGGCCACAAACTGTAACATCACACACCTTTATTGGAGTGCTTCTTGCTCAGGGTACAACTCTGCAGGGTGTTCCAATCTCTGTTCCTTCYGGGCTCCCTGGTGCCCAGAATGCCTGACCTGGGGCCCGCCAGGCCCTCTCCTGAGTTCTGAACTCCAGCCTCCGGGGACAGGAGGTCATCAGGTAGGGGCCGTTCCATCAGTTGTTGCTATGGACATGCAGGTCATTTGGTATCTGCTGAGCTAGATTTTGGRCCTGGGGGACGGACCCCTCAGGCCTGCAGGACCTGGCAGAGAACATKCTTCTGAGCCCTGGTGGCAGGAGGCAGAGCTGGGCTGCAGAGCTACAGAGGGTGGGGGGGGAAGCAGCCCCTGGTCCCTTCCTAGGCTTCCTCCACCTCCTGCCCCAGGGCTGAACTCTGCCCATCACAGTTCTAGATATTTCCTTACTTATCCAGAGCCTTAGACAYACCAGGGGAAAGAGTGCGGGGGCTGTTGTTCCCACTTTCATGTTGAGGAGACAAGCCCCTGCTTGTGGCTTGGAGCCAGGGTTAGACCCCTGTCTAGCGGACCACATCACAGGGCCCTGCACCACTGATGCACATCTCTGGGCAGGCACCAGAGCTGCCTGGGACTGCAGATTTGTTCCCAGAGCTGACTTCTGCCTTCCCTCTTATCCCCACCCCCTGTCCCCAGAGGTAGCAGAGGGAGTGGGTCCAGTCCTTTACCTGTCTCCTCACACCAGCCTCCTCCATTGCTCTTCAGTGTGTGGCTGAGGCTGGAAGAGATCCTGCAGGTTAGAGCTTAGGGGAGGAGAGGAGGGAATATCGAGGTTCAAGGTCACGTGCTCCCCCCACTGGGCCATCTTCCCCCTTGGAAGGTCATTCAGAAGGCCTGATTTGATCCTCACCACCCCCTTCTCTCCTGCTTTAATCTTCAGCTCTCAGTGGCACCCAATCCAACCCCAAAGAGGGAATGTCTCCTATTGTCCCATCCATGGCGTGGTCCCCAGAGAGCAACCCTTACCTTTGACTTCCAGCCGGCAATCCACGGATGCCTCCCCCAGCACGTTGATGGCCTTGCAGGTGTAGACCCCGGAATCAAAGGGGCTGGGTTTCCGGATCTCCAGGGTGCAGACCCCTTGCTCAGAGAGGGCACGGTATTTGGGGTCCCCCTGGATGTTCATTTGGTTTTTCATCCAGATGATCTTGGGCTGGGTGGCATAATCAGAGGAGAGCTGGGAAGGATGCTCTCAAAGGGCCATTCTCAGGCCCCTGGGGAGATGCTGGGATCTCCCAACCCTACACTGGCCCCAGCCCCGGGCCCCTCACCTTGGGCGATGCTCTGACGCTGCAGAAGAGCTGAGTGCTGTAGCCGGGGGTGGAGGTGTGGTCAGCCAGCGGCTGAGTGAACGAGGGGGCTTCCGAGAAGTCTCGCTCAATGAACCCTTTAGGTTTGGCAGCAATATCTGGGTTCGAGGGAAAATTTGAGGATACAGAATTTGAGAATACATAAGGTTGACTTTATCCAGAATTTTTGAGAAGCCTTGCTTTTTTGTGGGAGCTTAGAGAAGAAAAGTCAAAGAAGCCAAGGAAAGAACCCTGGGAGGTGAAACCATCCAGCTTTGGGCCCCAAATAACTTTGAAGTGGGAGAAGGGGCMCCTGGGTCACTCAAGTGAGCTCCCAAGAGGGAGTCGGGTGGGTTGGGGTGGTAAGCAGAGAGAAGAGTGGCAGCAACACAGAGCAGGAGAGCAGATCTCAGTGGAAGGCGGAGACCAGTGACTCGGAGGTCTTTGGAGACCTCATTCTGTTTTTAAAACAGAAACTTTCTCCTAATTTTGGGCAGGTCAGGCTGGTGTCAAAAAGACTGTGTCTTCTGGAGCCCACACACACCCTGGGTGGGGAAAAGGACTTGGACATAGAAGGTGACAGAGAGAAGGGCCTGGGATTTAGCATTTGACCCAAGAGGGCCAGGCGCCCTGTGGAGATGCTGTAGTGATCTCGTCCATCTGTATGACGTTCTCGTTGGGCAGTGAGTTTGCTGCTTTTACGAACTCRCTGGAGTCTACAAATCACGTACATATTGCCCTTCAGGGTAGGTCCCTTGGGACACTGTGCATGAGACCTAATGGCTGCTGTGACATTCGAAGCCATACACATCTTTAGAATAAGTACACAGCCTCCCTAGGGGCACTGCTCATTTGCATGGGTTTGCTCTGATGTGTTTGTTAAAGCCCATCAGCCACATCCCTTACTTTATAGCCACTCTGTGTGTGCGCGCACACTCATGCACACACTCACACACAGCGGTGGAGTCAAAGGAGGGCAGAGAATGTTCCAGGAAACAGGCACCCAGGAGAAGTCCAGAGGGAGGGATGCAGGGACGCGGAGGTAGAGGTAGAGAGAGACAGGGAAAGAGTCCAGGGCAGGAGCTGCTGGCCCTGGCTTGGTTTCGGGCCTGAGCCAAACCTACCCGCCTTCCGGATGTGGGCGAGCTCCTTGGTGGAGGTGGCTGAGTCGCTGAGGCCACACAGGTTTTCTGAGAAGACCCGGAAGTAGTACGAGTTGCCAACGATGAGATGGGAGATGGTGCAGGTGGTTGGGTGGTAGCGCTCCAACACTGTGAACCATTGCTGTGGGGACCCCGGCCCCGTCACACTCACCCCTCACCTTAGTCCTCACCCTCCCGGTGGCTGCCTTCCCAGAAGGGTTCATTCTATGTCTCCAACCCTGGGAGGTGAAACCATCCAGCTTTGGGCCCCAAAGGACTTTGAAGTGGGAAAAGGGGCACCTGGGTCACTCAAGTGAGCTCTCTGGCACCTCAGAGAATTCTAGAGCCTTTCTATTCTGGATGTGATTGCAACCTCATTATCACCTGGGGACTTCAGGATTCAGTCCCAGCCAGGATCTACTGAATCGGAATCTGCATCTTAGCAAGATTCCTAGGTAACTAATATGCCCATGAAGATTCCAGAAACACAGCTCCAGAGTTTGAAAGGCCTCCGACAGCCCGGGCCAGCCCTCCCTGCAGTCTTAATGGGGAAGAGTCTTGCCAAGGGTCACATAGGGAGTCAACAGTCACTGCACTGAAACTGATCCCGAGACTCTTGGTGGGATGGGCCTTTGCAGCCACCTTAGGCACTTCCTCCCCGCCCCACTCTGTCCCAGCAGGCCTCACCCCCGTCTTTTTGTCTGCCTTCTGCACCGTGTAGCCCAGGAGCTCKGTGTTGCCAGTGTCCTGGGGTGGTGTCCACTCAAGGGCAGCATTGCAACCCCACACGTCCAGTAGCTTGATGCTGCTGGGGGGCCCAGGCTTCTCTGCAGGACCACAGAGGAGGGRAGTGAGCATGAGGCTGAGCCTGCCACAAAGACCCCACACCCGAGATTTGGTTCCTTCCGTGCTTCCTCAGCCTGCTCCCCACCAGCCATCAGCTCCACGGGGGGATGTTTCTACGTCCCTGAGGACCAGTCCTGTCTCCCCTGGCCCCTTACCAATCACCAGGATGTCGATGGCTGCCTTGGCCTCCAGACCTTCCAGCCCCACAGTGAGTTCATAGCGGCCTGAGTCAGAGCGCTGGGCGGAGCGGATGAAGAGGATGGAATCCTGGTCCCCGTTGCGCACGTTTACCCGCTTGCCGTCCAAGGCTTGGCCGTTGTGTGTCCATGAGGCCTGAGGCTTGGGCTTCCCCTGATGGGAGGGAGCCCGCAGGGTGAGTGCAGGTCAGGCTGGGCCCCCACTCCCTCCAGCTCCGGGGTGTCTGGAGCTGTGTCCTTGGAAGCCTGCCCCATGGTCCTTCCCAGGAGGGGCAGCAGGGGCTGGAGCCATAGGTGCTGCCCCAGCCTTGTCCTCCAGGCGTCCAGCTGCACTGGGGACCCACCTGCCAGTCCCCAGGCTGGGGGTCACACTGAGTCATGGTATGATCAAGGAAGGACGAGGCCTTCTTGGTGGATTCCAGGCAGAGCCCTTGGGGGGATCCTGATTTTTCCGGGGCTCCTGCTGTGGACCTGGCTGGGACTCTGGTTTCCACCCAGACTCTCCCTCTAGGTAGAGGCATACCCACCTGGAAGGGGATTTGAAGGTTGATCGACTCTCCGACCTGGCGGATGTAAGTCTGCCGAAGGTGGCGGGGGACACGGATCTTGGGGGGCTCTACATGAAAGCAAGAGTCTAGACTTAGCACAGCAGAGGGATAGCTGAATGGGGGCTTCTGACCCAGGGGTAGGGGACAGCTGGTTCTGGCCAGGCAGCAGCGCTCCTGGGTATGTTCTGGCTGCTTCCTTGTGGGAGAGGCAAAGCTCTTACTCRTGAGATCGTGGGGCTCAAATCCTATAAGGCCCTTGGGGAGCTGAAAGCCGGGAGGTTCCAGAGAGGTCAGGGCCTCCATGGTGTGAAGTGGTAGGCATCCCAGGCACTCTCTTGGCACCTTGACCCTGCCAGGCTGGGATTTGCCCTGCAGCCCAAGCATTTGAAATCTCCAGATGGGCYCTGCTGGCTCTCTGGCTCCCCCTAGAGGGAAGCAGGCGCTGCACCTGTCAGACTGTACTCCCAGGACAGAAGGCAGTACTTCTTCCTGCTCACCCTGCACCCCGCACCCCCAACAGCCTAGGACTTTCAGAGAAGCCCTTATGAAACTTTCCTTGCTCAGTCCTCGGCCTCTCAACCCAACCTGGGGGACTAAGGTCTTTCTCTGCTCAAATGAGGCCAGAGYAAGTACACCCCTTCTCTCTCTGTGGCCCCTCCCAGTCTTCAAACCTCATGGTTGGAAAGTCCTTCCTGAAGTCCTGCCTCTGCCCCGCTATGGCTTGTAACTACCTTCCCAACCTTCCTCTAATCAGGTGCAACCAAGGGAATCACGGGGCATTCCAAGGGAAGTTGCCACAACCTTGTCCCTGGGGTGGGGGTGGGGGTGCATGTGCTGGGCCTGGGACGGAGGCTCCTCAGCAGCAAACAGGTGGCAGCAGTTGGTCRGTGGCATGAAGGGTGGCAGAGAAGGAGGAGACAGCCAGAAGGAACACTGTGTCTCCAAGGATTAGCTGAGCGGGCATTTGGCTTGGGAGCAGCAGGCGAGGAATGCTCTAGGGGCAGCTGCAGGAGGTCAGGAATGCTTGGCAGCTCCAGGTGGCCAAGGAAGGACAGCTGAGCAGCTGAGGATCCTGGACAGGGTCCCCACCCCAGCATGCTCTCCCATAAGAAGCCTGGCTGTCCCCTACTTGTTTGTGGCCTTCTTCTCCTCCTTTTCTCTCCAGGAAATTCCCTCCTCTCCCKCCAGTGGAATTTTAATGGAGAAGCAGGTCTGAGTCTGGCTGAGTCTGGCTGGCTCCTGAGACACCAGGCCTCAGAGGCCTCTGAGTCTGACCTCCTTGGGGCCCAGGGGGAAGGTCGGGACTCCCCCAGGCAGGAGGACTTCCTGACACCTTGGGGCTAGAGTCAACACAGCTATCATGCAGCTGCCACATYGGCCACGACTCATCCAGACTCAAAGGCTGGGAATGTCCCCTGTAGCTTGGTGAGGCATGAATGGCCTTCTGTGGCCATCAGTATCTGGGAGCACCATTGAACAGTTGGGTGACCTCTTGATTGTCCCTAGGTCCCTTGGGATCTGCTTGGCTTGGATATGTGAACCATGACAGTCTGGTTCTATTTCTTTGAATCCAAACTTGACCCCTCCTGTGGCCTTGCTACCCTTTCCTTCTGAATTGCCTGGTCTAGAAGGGTGGAGTTCTGCTCCCAGCCTCCACCGGGAACCATTGTCCGCCTGGTGGAAGAACTAGAAGGAAGATGGAGAAGGCCTCAGGCCACCTGTTTGCCTGCCTGTTTCTCCACCCTGGGGCCCTGCTCTGTCCCCAGGGACCTGAGATCAGACTAAATGACTCATTGCCATTAACAGACTGAAATCTGATCGGCTCTGGGAGGGTAGTGAGGGTAGGATTGGGCTAATGCACCCTGCAAATAGAAATATTAGCAATGGGGACAGCAGCTGGCCTTCAGGTCCCTAGTGAGGCACTGCCCCTTGGGGATGGAGAAGCCCTCACAGGCCTTTTGCGGACCCCCTTCCCCTTCCCACTAGGGCTCTGGGAAAACAGGGGCAGCAGGCTTTCTCTCTATTCCAGAACCTTTGGGGGAGATCTGGAACCCAGGCTTAGGTAATGGGCAGAAATTGAGCCTCCATGGCCACTGGAGGGATTAAGATTGGCTAGAAGGAAATCAGATGGTATCTTAGCACTGGGACTCTGAGACAGGTGACCCAGGGACCTGAGCTTTCCTTTCTGGACATCAGGAAACCTCTCCCCAAAGCTTTGGGGCTGGACTACTCAGGGAAGTGACTTCTTTGACACCCCCAGAGACCCCTGGAAGCTAAGAAGCCCGGCACTTTCTCAAGTCAAGATGGCGGGAGCACGTGGCTTGTGCATGTGAGTGTGGGGTGGGGAGAGGGCTTYGTGGATCTCACGGCCCGTGGCTTCATTTCCTCCATGAGATCAGGCTGGGGAGCAAGAGGTGAGGTTTACCTATGATCTCCTGGATGTGGACAGGCTGGTCCAGCACTGCAGGTGGACCAGCCCCCACGGAGCTCACTGCGGCCACACGCAGGAAGAACTTGTCCCCTAGAGSCAGGTTCCGCAAGATCTGCTGGGTCACCATCATGGGCCGGGCATTCACAGGGACCCACTCTGAGGCTGCGAGGAACCGAGAACATGTGAGGTCTTGGGACATGGTCAGGGCCACCCTTTTCAATAGGGCATCCCTTCTCAGTGGTGGTCTGGGGATGTCGACCTCCCTCTCTGGGCTCATTTTCCAGTTGCTCCACTTTCCTGAATTCTTCATGTCCAGTGTGGCATCAAAAACACGGAGGGGGGGAGGGTTAGACCACTGGAATGGTGACCAGAGATGGGGTTGCTGAAGCCCAGTGAGGGGTAGACACCTTTGCAAAGTCACACAGCAAGGTGGGGGCAGAAGTAGAGGCCCAGATGAGGGTGACTGACGTGGAGGGGAACGGAGGCAGCAGGAATGGAGCCCAACGCTCCCCATTCTCTGTTTCTCCTCACCACCTCCCTCTCTGCACGGCACCTCTCTCCTCCCCAGAGCAGTGCTCTGTTCTGTTATTCAGAGGCTCTTTGGAGCTGAAAGGTGAGGCTCCTGAGGTCCCTGCCATCCCCCTGCCTTCAGAGGGCCCCGGTGCAGCTAGAAGTGGGGGCGGGGTTAAGGAAACTACTACCTGTCCTCCTCCCTCCCATGCCCCCAGACTGGGACTGGAGGTGCCCCTGCTGCCCTCCTGGCCACTCACATGGGGCATCCGCTGGGCTGAGCACTTACTTCCCTCTCTGCAGATCTCCACCACGTAGCCCTGGAGCCCCAGCCTCCCCAGCTTCTCCGGGGGCTCCCAGCTCACAGTCACGGAGCTGCTGCTCACATCCTCCACGGTCAGCAGCAGCGGTGCGCTRGGGACATCTGGAGAGAAGCCAGGATGAGATGAAGAGGTTCATGGCCATAAGTCCCCCCTGGCACGCCTGCTGCCCTCCTCCACCTGCCCGGCCTCGGATCACCTTCGCTTGGGGGTGCAGGCTTAGTGACCGTGGGAGCTGTGGGGGCCGGTGCCTGAGAAGCAGGGTCCTGGGGCTCCTGGGGCTCCTCCGCCTGTTCTTCTCCTTGGGACTCCGATGCTGCCACTTCTCCAGAAGGCTCTGTGATGGGCACACTGACAGACTCAGATGCTGTCTCCTCTGGACCAGAGGCAGTGGCCTCGGAGGTGGCCTCTCCTGTCATTGTGGGGCTGGAGAGGGTGAGGCTGGGGCGTGCAGGGGTCAGCAGTGGAGGGTCTGAGCCTCCAGGGTGTCTGGGATACCTAGGACCAGGCTTATATAGCCAGGGGCTGCCCCACCCCCAGCCAACGATTCCCAGCTGTGGGGTCAGGTCAGGCAGGGGGTGGGGGTGGGGTGGGGAGGCGCCCAGGCCAGGAATAGCTCTGGGGGAGGAACCACGGGGCCCCTTGAGGAGTGCACTACCTTGCCGTCACCCTGTTTGGACCTCACAGTCAGGGTGCTAGTGCTTGGCTAGGAGCAGGYACAGATAGGTGAGCTGGGACACCATTAGGACCAGTGCCCAGGTTTGGGGCAACGGAAGACAGCTGCCGTTTAGAGAAGGAAGCCCTGTCAGCTCTGGGAGTCTGGCTTCCGCGAGGCCACTTGGACGCAGGTCTTTTCAGACTGGGGTCTGGGGCCCAGACAGCCTGCTCCAGCCTCCCTGATGAGCACTCGCTCCTGACTTTGCCCCTGGGGTCCTCTCTGCCCTGGGAACTCTCCCTTGTGCTATGTGAGGTCAGGGCCCTACCTAGGCAGGGAGTTGAGATGCTCAAGACGGAGCTGGCAGGAGAAGGTCCTCCAGCATTGGGACTCCAGGAAGAAGGACTGTCCCTGTGTATTTTCTTGTGCTCTAACAGAATACCACAGAGGGGTAAATTATGGATAGATGTTTATCTGCTCACAGTTCTGCACGCTGGGAAGTCCAAGAGCATGGCACCCTCATTGGTGAGGGGCTTGGTGCTGTCATCACGGGGCAGGTGGGCAAGCGAGACAGCAAGAGGAACTTGGCTGAACCCATCCTTTTTATCAGGGACCCATTTTAAGATAACTAACCTGCTCCCACAATAATGACATTAATCCATGGGTGAGGGCAGTGCCCTGGTGGCCTGATCTCCCCACCTCTCATAAAGACCCCTCCACTTATACTGTGACAATGGCGGTTGAACCTCAATGTGAGTTTGGAGGAGGCATTCAAACTGTAGCAGGGACTAAGCCCTTTGGTTCCTGTCTCTGCTGGGAGGTGGATACCGATCCGCCTTCCCTCCCTGCCTGGGGCTTCTGTTTTCCTTGACCAAGTTGGGTGTGGGATGAAGTTGTGGGCAGACTCAAAGGGACCCTGCTGGAGGGTATCTCTGAAACTTCTAGCCTCTCAGAACAGGACGTGAGAATGGACCTGCCCAGTGTGGGAAATGATGAAGGTATGGCCCAATTCCTAGTCACTCACGGAATAAAATGTTGGTAATAATTTAAATGTCATGTGCAGGAGCAGGAAATAGTGACTTCCATTGCTGCTGGTGGGATAGTTGGGAGCAACTTTGGGAAGAGTGACACAGAACCTGGAGATATGGACAAAGCACCTGCTCAGTGACCCTGATGTTCCACTCCTGGAAACGCTCACCGGGAGGCCAGGGAGGCCCGGATGAGAATGTTCACAGCAGTATTACTTGTACTAGCCCAAATCTGGGGTGTGGGGGGGGGCAGCTGTCCTTCAGCAGTGGGACAGATAAACCACTGGAGAGCATTTATACAATTCAAAAGCAAAATCCAGAATAAAATGAACAAACTTCAGTCTCATACAACACCATGGCTGCTCTCACAGACCTAATGGTGAGGAAGGGAGCCAGGCACACAGAAATGGGGCCATCTCACAGGCACGAAATCCAAACACAGGCCACACCAAGCTACTTCTTCAAGGTGCACCCATAGGTGGTAAAGCATGCAGGAAAGCAGAACACAGTTAGCATGGAAGTCCAGGTAGTGGGTCAGGGTTGCAGGTGATTGGAAAGGTCCTGGGGTGCCATCAAGGTTTCATTTCCTGCCCTTGGTAGTGGTTACGGGAGTTTTCATAGTTTTCATGCATAGTGACTCTAAATTAAACAAATACATTTATACACTGTTTACTATGCATGATGTATGCCACAATTTAAAAATAAGCAAGCATGTTATTTATTGAGGGCCCTCATCAACATGCAGACTGTACCCCTTCCTCAGAACAGGGGGTCATTAGAGTGTGGCCTCCTCTCAGCCCTGGCTGTCCTTGTGGGGAGTGGCAGTGGAGAACCCAGGGTGCCTTGGATGCAGCCCTGTCTGGGTGCTCATGTCCTCTGCCAGTTGATTCAGTGTCCTTCTGGGCAGGGAGCAGGCCCTGGAGACCCGATCTCCATCCTTGGCCTCTGACTGTGCAGCTATAAGCGAATGTGACTAACCCTACAGGACCCTGAGTCAGCCCTGCCGAGCCGTCCCAAGCTCAGGGGGAGGGTTGCCCTTGGGGCTGCTGTGTGGCTGCCCAGAGAGCCCCTCAGCCCTGGGGTTTCAAATACCCTTGTGTGACAGGGCAAGCAGTGGCAGGGTTGAGGGAATGCTTGGCCACTGGCCAGCCCTGAAATGCTAGGTACCCCCTAAGGCTCTGGCCAAGTTCTTTGCCTTTAGCAGAGCTGTGACCTTGGAATCAGCTGCATCTGCCCTGCTCTGCTTGGTTCGGATTTCAGGGCCACAGATAAATATTTTCTTCCCTACACCTGAAATCAGAGTCACAAACCATCAGACCAACTCGTGATTATCCCAAGTCACAGATAATCCAAACATGAGGAAATCCATGAATAAATTCTCTTTAGTTTTGGAGGATGTATCTGGACTCTCTTTGGATAAAGTCATTCCAGGGCCCTGGAAATTCACAGAAGGCTGGTGAGGGTATCTCCCCCTCGTAAAGCATGGGAAACTGGCTGCTTTTCTGGGTATCTGATTCCCTCAGCCCGCCCTGGCACCACGGCCCCAGACCAGCTAGGCAGAGGTCAAGGGATGAGTGTGAGAGGAGGGACTGCAAGGACCCTGGGCTACAGACAAGGTCATCCTTTGGAAAGACACGGCTTTCAGCACAGCAGGGCCCCTGGGTTACTGACATGCAGGTCACTGAGAATGTCAGAGGCTAAAGGCCATCCTTCAAAGCCCTGCAGAGAGAGGCTCCTGCCCTGGAAGGCAGGGAAGGTRCATGAGAGGACATGTGTGTTTCCTTCTGGAGCTGAGGGTCTAGGGTTCAGGGCTCTCCAACCCCATCCTATGATGGGCTCCTACCACCTTCCTGGGAGCCAGGAGAGATGAAAAGCTGGGATTAAAAGCATTCCTTCCTGGTGTCTGCTAGTCCCCAGGAAACAGAAATGGTTTCTTTCAACAGAAACTTAATTTGGAAGTCTGGATGGCAATGGCTTTCGTATCTGAAAAGCCATCAGCCACGCTTGGGTGAAGCCCAAGGCAGGAGAATCTAAGGAAGCTACCTTCCGCTGGGGTTTCCTGCATCCTGGTGGTGAGGACGTGGTGGCTTCATCTCTGCAAACTCAGGGCTCCCAACCCTCAGGGAGAGGAATYCAGAAAAGATAGGGGGAGGTGAGCGCGCGATGGTCCAGGGTGCCGTCAAGACAGACCAAGCAAGTGCGATGCACCGCTAAGCTCTTGTATTTTACTGAGCAGCTGTGGAATTAGGAAAGGGAAATGGCATAGGAGATACGATTATGGATTATGTTCCTAAATGAAGGTTTCAAATTGGGCTTTGCAGAGGATATAATTAGTGTGGTAACTGACTCTTAGGATGTTTGGCTACTTGGTGCAAGAGCTTGCCAAAATGGTGTCCTTTCATTAGGAGGGTCGGGGGTAAACAGGTTGAAGAATTCCCCTGTGCCAGGCTTGGGGTCTATGAGCAGTTTTATTCATCAGCAGGTATGAATTGATACTGGGTCTTACACTGTGCTGGTCCCTAGACCCTCACTGACCCCACAGCCCCATCTCTGGTGTTGCCCTTGGCGCAGGCTGTGGGGAGGAAGACGGAGGCTCAGATGGGAGATCAGCAGTGCAGGTGCTCAGGCTCCCGGCCAGCAGGAGTCAGAGGGTGTGGGGTGTCCTTGGAMCCCACGGTATACAGAAAGACAGGGCTAAGCGGCTGAGAGTGCATCCTTGATGGCATTGATGAGAGGGAAGGGTAGATTCTGGCCACAGAAGGAGCCCCGGAAGTCATCCAAATCCAGGGCCCACACCGCAGCACCTGCCAGTTGCTTCTGTTTCAGGTACTGCACCTGGGGAGGGAGGTCCAGAGGGGGAAGGGTTGGGTTCTCCAGGGCAGWGTGCCTATGGGGGAAATGCTATTCCCAGAGGAGGGGACCCAGGTACCTGAGGCTGACCCCCACCAGCAGCCCAGACCTCAGGGCAGGAGGCTGACTCTGGCTGCTTGGAGCAGGTTCCCCCCTCCCTCTTTGTMCTGGGGGGTGGCCTGGTGAACTTACCTTGCTTCTGACGCTCTCCTGGTCATCGTATCCCACCCACTGGTTGCCCTTGGTGGCGTAGGGAACCAGCTGGCTGGGAATTCTATGGACCATGGCTCCGTGGAGGAATTCACAGATCTGAGCAGAGAATAGGACATGGGTAGAACAGGGAGACTTTGCAGGACACCAGGAGAAGTCACTCCCCAAGTCTCTGTCAGCCCCTCATTTCATCTTGCAGCCTTATTCTCAGGGGCTTTTCGAGCTGTAGGCTTCATGCAAATGTATGTAAAACAGATGCAAATGTACCCCCAGTTCAGCTGCCATAGCCTGAGGGCTTTAAGGGATTCTGATTGGCTCCTCCATCTTTTTATTTTTTGGAGATTGAACCCAAGCGTACTCTAGCACTGGGCCACATCCCCATCTCTTTTTATTTTGAGACAAGTTTATGCCCATTGCCCAGGCTGGCCTTGAACTTGCCATCCTCCTGCCTCAGCCTCCCAAGTAGCTGGTATTATAGGCATGTGCCACCGCTTGCCTTCTCCATCTGAAAGAGGGATGGAGAAGGCGTGGATGCACACCAAGTACTGGCCCCTGGCCACAAGAACATCAGAAGCTAGACTGGAGACCCTGCCTCTTAGCCATTGCACTTTGCTGGGCTGGAAGGAAGACTCCAGTTCTGTAGCCAAAGGAATGTTCCAGGGGTTGGTGGTGCAGACTCATGCTGCTGGAGACTTTTGGTAGCAACGGGCCTGACTTCTCTCTTCCTCCCCTCAGGGATGTGAGGTCAGCTGGATCTGATTTT